AGAAACAGTGTTTCAGAATTCCCGTCTTTTAGCTTTGGGTCAAGCAGTAAGAATTATACTGTTAGTGTTTGACAGTCAGTCTCACCTGTGATTACTGTACTGTGATTACTGTACTGTACGTCACTCACTGACCGTGGTTCCCTTTTCACTGTAGAACCTGTGTATACAGTGTAGAACACGATATAGACTTTTATTGACCTTTTTAATTAATACAAATGAATTTGCATCTCTCTTAGAGTTAATACAAAACTCCTAAACACCTGCCGCACACTGCTTCCACTAATTCATTGCCAGTGGTCTGATATTCATAAAAAAACACTTTCACTACCTGCATTTTTTGCATTTGACTACAATAACTTTCACATATGATAGTATATTAAATAATAGCGTCTCCAATAGTAATAATAAGAAGCGATGTGATGCTTCATTGATTACAAGACTAGTTATGACATCCTTGTCACTATTCTGTTTTCTATGCATACACCAGTTCACTTTCTATTTACATCCATGGCTTTTGATTTTTAAATCTTTCATCTTTAAGCTTCTATGTTGAACCTTGTCAAACGCCCATGGAAATATAAATATACTGTCGTGACACCTGCTGTTTTTAAGGAACTAAAGGGATACTCTGCCCAAACACCAGCTGGGGTATAAAACATTTAGACCAATTTCATCGTCCATGTAGTTTTATTAAAGTTGTCTTTAGAATCATTACAGACATTTAAAAAAAATAACGTCTGGTGATAGAGCAAACAGGGGAAACCGCCTCGTCTCGGGACTGTGACTTGGCTTTAGTCTGAATAAGAGATGTACATGGCCGGTATTCTACATGGCCGGCCTGGTGGCTCCGCGGGCTAAACCATCGGACACGTCTAAAGTTCAGAGAGCAGATCGGCTCCCGGAGAGCCGTGTGAGTTAAAGTCGAGCCCCGAGCCTCCCCATCAGTCTGAGACCTAATCCCCGGTCTGAGACCTAGTCCCCGGGTGAAGCTCTCATGCTGTCGGGGTGAGTTTGTCGAAGTGGCTGTTCTCTACCACGCCGGCCGTTTTGGGGGGCTCCATTTTCGGGGCCTTCCAAAACAGGGCAAATGGGGGGTTTAAGTCCTTTATAAATGCGTAGTTCGGAATTCAATTCTAAAAAGCAGCCCCTTATACCACTGAGACACCTGCAGGATGGGTGTGGCACTAGCAGTGAAAGAGAGGTGCAGTCCTAACTAGGAGCGACAGGGGTCTCTCTCCAGCACATTTCTCTTGATT